TAGCATGACGTACTGCTTCTCGTCGAACCAGCGCATAACATTCTTCCAAATCGGGAACGGGATCTTTGCGTAGAATCTCTCCTCGAACTTGTTCGAATGCACCATCCAGTCCAGCAAGGAAAATGTGCACCCGTAGTCGTTCAATGGACTTTCGGTATGCTGCAATGTCATCAAGGTCTTTCATGACAACTTTATCTCGATGATCCAATTCGTGAAAAATCTCGGTCAGCTCTCCATAATATTCAGAGAGAGACTTGCCACTTTGTCTGGCAGTGAAGGCCTTTTGATTTAAAGTGAAAACTTACAATTCATCACTTCCATCGTAGAAGGCCTTTGACAGAGCACTCCAGATTTCTTAAGCAGTTGGTAAGCGCAAGTAATGCTTTATAATTTCTGGAGTCATAGACATCAACAACCACCTTTTCACTTTTTGATTTTCGGCATACCATTTCTCATATCCATCTTCTGTTTCTGTAGGTGGTTTCGTCTTGCCACGATTATAGGAAAGTTTGTCTCTTTCAGCAATATGCATTTCCATCAGCTGAGACCATACATCATAATTTGTATCAGTGAGAATGATTCCTGCATTAAAAACACCTTCAGATTGAACGATAATAGGAACTGATTTTGTCCTAAATGATTCAATATTTTTTTCAATCATCATCTCCCTTTTTTGTTTTTTTTTTCTTTTTTTTGGCGGCGTTGCTGGAACGCTGCAACGGCGCGACGGCGTGCCTGGAATGGCCGCGACGATGTGACGGTGTGCCTGGAACGGACGCGACGACGTGACGGCGTGGCTGGACCAGACGCGACGACATGCGACGGCGTGAACGCGATGACGGGGCTGACGAATGAAAGACGCGGCTGGGATTTAGAACAGTGCACAATCAGTGATGCAAGGACGAACTGATTCGAAGACGAACGTCGATCAGTCTCTGAGAGGTGATTTGGTTTTTTTAGGTTAATCAGTGGGTTGATATTTGGTGGTCTGATTTGTGGGTTTCGGTTTTTTTTTTTCAGGGATTCGGAAAAATGATGTTTTTTTGCAGAGCTTCAACCTCTGCTCTGATACCAACTTCAAAATGATGAACGGTATATTTTCTCATTCCTATTCTTTTGGTCTGAATACAATCAATATATAAAGGTGTAATACCTATAATCAATATACAATCACCTATAATCTCTCCTAATTACAATCAAACACACCCCCAATTAAGCCCAATTACCAATCACAGCTAATATACAAGAAATCAAACTAAGAAAGGAAAGAATCTCAATATATATATATATATATATATGTATATATAAGAAGAAGAAGAAGAAGAAGAAGAATTGTCAAGCATAAAAGTCCCGTGGCGATCAATTAATCAGAATATGCGTCTCTTATAAGATGGGAGGTGGCGAAACGGCTTACAATGACGTAGGTCTCTTCTAGTACTTGACTTGTCAAATTATTTGTTTGTTTTTGTTTTGGTTCCTGCAGGCCTTGACTTGTTATATTGCCATATTGAGTGGCCTTATGATATACATTGGCACAAATAACGAGACTTGACATGCCCTACGCACGTCACGACCTCACTTTCTCCTTCGGTTTCTATTTTTTGGGTTGAATTTCTTCTTTGGAAGTTGGAATTAGCATAATTAATGTTGTTTGATTAGAACCAAGCGATGTTGTACCATATCTTTTTAGTCCTCTTTCTCTTTCTTCTCATATTTTGGTGGTTACCAGTCAATATCTTAGTTTGAGACTAGTGTTAAGTAAAATTTTTAGTATCATCATAGGATACTGTTTAAGACTGTTGGGTCATATTTTTTTAGTATCCTGGTAGGATACTGATGATCGCCTACTTCTTGTTAGAACTTCTAGTATCATAGTAACTAGCAAGATGAAAAATGTTTGTATAACTCGATAAGGATATATCCTCACTCTCAAAGTGAGCTTCACTTGTGGGATTTATGTGGGACCTATTTGTGGAGCCAATTTTTTTTATGAGAGAGTAGAAATTTAACATTATCAGAATAAATAGGATTCCTCTAATGATATACCTCGTACGTATCATTATAGAAAAAGTATTACGGCAGAAAATTGGATGGTTGCCATTTACTGATGTCGACACTGTGACTATTAAGAGTTTATTTGAAATTTTATAAAGAGGAATACTACTTTTAAATTTGAGTTATGTATGTGAGAGAAAAATATTATAGCAAAAAAGTTGATTTTAAATTTTTGGAAGAGAAAATAATGTAGCAATAGAACTTGAGTTATGAAAAGAACTATCCATTTGTATTCAATTACGTCGCTTATGAGAAAAGATTTGAGTTTAATTTGTACATGATATAAATGAATAACCGGTGGACTTTATAAATGCCACTAACCTTACTTTATACCCTTTTAAAGGGCAAGAGTCTTGAATTTTACTCATTATTCTTGATTAATATTTATTTTAATCAAATATTTATATCAATTAAAAGTGTATTAATTAAAAATAAGGAGTAAAGTTTCAGACCTCGCACTTTAAAGATAAGTTCAGTAATTTTCTCCTATACTAACGATGGGCTCCTTGTTTTATTTGCTTGAGATTGGGCCTAATGTATAGAGTAAACTATAAAAGCTATATGAAATTCACGAGTAAGAATTCTCTTTTTCTTTTTCTATAATAGAAAAAATATTAATGGTGTCACATTCTCCCTCACTCACATTTTTACTTAAGGGTCCAATTTTCGTTCATGCCACAAGACATAGTTGAGAAAAGTTCTTTCAAACAACGATTAAGTCCTTAAGATTTATTTATGTTGGCATAAGAAAAAAAAAAAAAAAAAGACAAATCATTTGTTTATTCTAGTCAGTATTCTTTTACTTATTGAACTATATTGGTTAAATTTTTTTATCTACCAAGGCTCAGGCAGGCCGAGGTGCCACTGTTTTGATCATTCTTTTTCTTCCTTGTTGTCTTCCACCCCAATTTTTTACACTAATTTGTTTGCTTAAATAAATATCTTAAAATTAGAAACTGCTCGTTAGATTAATGTATTGTGTAAAAATGATAGATTTTTCTTTTCACAACTTGAGTTGTAAAGTAATTTTACATGAAAAAATATTGTAGTAAAAATAAAGTTAAATTTAAATTTTTATAACAAAAAACACTGTAATAGAAAGAATTTAAGTTATAATTTGAGTTGCGGAAAGAACAATGTCATTAATAACTCTTAAATGAGAATAAGAAAGATTACTAAATAAGTAAAATAAAAGTAGATTAACTCTCATGGCTATTGGTATTGCATTATTCTATATTACTATATTTTAAAGTATTTTACCGAATATATATGTTTATTTAGTATTAATATGACCTGAAATTTTAGAATGGGGCACTAAAAGTATTTCTAGTGCAATGCTATAATTAATGTGCCAATTATAAATTTAATATTTGAGTGTAAAAAATATTCTTTAATGCAATGTTATTTGTTGTGTCAAATTTCACATATGCTATACTTTGTGACAAATTTTCCATCAAATATAGCATATGGAGAATTTGACATTTGATTATTATTGGTTGAAATGTTTACTTTTTCCATTTAATCAATATAATTTTTGCATCTTCTAATTATTTTAAAAATGAGAGTTTACTTTTATAATTTTCAAAACTTAATAATTATAAAAAAAATAAATTTAGCATTTTAAATAATATTATGTATTAAAATAAAAATAAAGGGAGAAAGAGAGAAATAGGTCAAGACTTGAGATGAATTAAAATTAATAGGCCAATAGTTTACATAAGTTAATAAATAGGCTAAATTACTGTTTTCGTCAATAACTTGTCTGGTTATTAACCATAACTTGACAATTTATTATCCATTTTTGTCTATAACTTGTCCGGCTATAAACCATAACTTGACAAGTTTACCCATAACTTATCTGGTTATGAACCATAACTTAACAAGTTATGATCTATTAATTTTTATAACTAAAAATTGACCTATATATTTTCTTAAGCTTTTTATATTAGCCTATTTTCTACTATTTTTGAAAAATAAAATATTATATTATGACTTTTGATGTTAAATATACGGTTAACATTAACCGTACATAAGTTGCTACGAATAAGACTCAGATTTGGATAATAACGACCTTGACCCAGTCAATAAAGATTAAAGAAGAGAGCTTCTGGGCAAGGCCCAAATTGAGGATTTGTGTGAGTGTTTGACTTTTCCCAAGGCTTCCAGAATCAGACCTAAACTCCAAAGAATTCAGCGCAAACGGCTGACTTCTTTTCTTGTGGGACCCCATCAGTACGTCCCACACGTTTATGGTTCAGATCATTCCTCCGTGTCCTCTTATTCTCTTCTCCTCCTAACTCATAAAGAAAAGTCAAATCTACTTACCACAATCACAATGTTTTTTTTTTTTTTTGTTCTAAAAGCAACTTGTTGATTAATTAATAAAAGCATTATTTTAATTAGTTTTTGTACCGATAACAAATGTTTGGTGAGTTATCAAAATGTTCATTTTATTATTGTAAAAAACGACAAAGAAAGAGGGGTGGGAACCGACTGATTTAGCCCTGCTTTAAGAGACTATTCTTTGGAGACCAAACAAAAACAGAGGTGGTAAATTTTTTTCAATACTAATTAAATTGATAATTCTTTAAAAAAAATTATCAATAAAAAATAACAACTCTTGGTATAACAAATTAAGATAAAACTACCAAAATTTTTACTTGTTTAGGATCTAAAGTATATATAAGTTTGAATTTGGAGATAATCCTGTGAACTTTTTTTTTTTTTTTTTTGAATAGACAGTCCTGAGAAGTTGCCGCTAGATAGATTATATTTATAACCATGGAATTAGTTATAAAACTACTGCTAAAACAATGCTTGTAACTAAATTTCGTATTATATTATTTTTAAGTTGCGTATTATACTATTTTGTACCCACTAAAAGAATTTTCCAAATAACAATAATGAAAATCATGACATAAATGTGTAATATATCTATATATATATATAATTTAAGCTGGCGGAAAATGAAAGTCCAAAATTGATTCCAAACGGCAGAGAGGATGACGCAAAAGGAACAGAGCTCGTGCTACCAAAAACCAACAAACCCCCCGCGAGAAGAAAAAGAAAAATAAAAAAAAAAAACCCCAGAATATTAAAGAAACCCATTTTTATTTTGTATCGTTTTTACAAAGTACATCTCTCTGGATAGTCGTTTCTTTCATAATAATCATCCCTTCTGTGAATTCTGATCCTAATCCTCTACTTCTTCTGGGTTGCTCAGGTAAAAACCTTGTCTTTACATCATCAATTAATTTGTTTAGTTTCGATTCCAATTTTCTTCGTTTCAGTTCACTTTTCAGCTGGAATTTCGAAGTTGGGTTTTGTTTATTTCCTGTTTATATGATTAGATTCCATGTTTCTTCCTGATATTGGGGTTTTTGCGATGCGGGTTTGGAAATTTTTACTCATTTTTTCTTTTAGTTTGATGTTTGTAGAATTTTGTTAATGATCTGACTTATATCTTTGTTTATGCCCTTCTTTTTGGGGGTAATTTGCTGTAAAAGTTCGTTCTTGATTTTTCTTGATTAGCAGGTTGATGCGTTTGTTAAATCCCCTTTGTGTATTTGTATAGTTATTAGTATTTGTAATTTGGGTTTTTCCTAATTTTTGTGGATTATATGTTTGCAAGGTGAGGAAATTAAAGGTCTTTGTGTTTCTTTGATTTTGCAAAGAATTGATGTCTATTTCCATGTTTCGATGGCTTTTTCTTTGTGGGTCAATGAATAATCCACATGTCAAAATTTTGATGTTCTTTTCTCTTAGTGGGTCAATGAGCAGTTTACAGTGTATGGCTTTAGGAATTGTTCAAATAGCATAGGCTGTTGGGATTAAAATTATGTGGATGCTTGTCGACTAAATTGCATGATTGAAATTGTGGGTCGATTGTGTTGTAAGGAAGTTTCGAATTCGAGGACAAGAGACTTGACTGAAAGGGTAGGAGACATGGCTAATAATGCTGCAGCCGCTGCTGAGAGGGCAACTAGTGATATGCTGATTGGTCCTGACTGGGCAGTAAACATCGAATTATGCGATATTATTAACATGGACCCTGGGTATAACCTTTTTTTTTCCACGTATATCTTTTTTATGGAAATAGAATACTTGTGGTACTTTTCTATTTGACCATAGAATTAGTTTGTTATTTTTGTTAGTTAAAATGCTCTTACATTGTTATGTGCCTTTGAATCAAAATGGAAATTGCAGGCAAGCAAAAGATGCCTTGAAGACACTCAAGAAACGACTTGCCAGTAAAAATCCGAAGATACAGCTTCTGGCTCTTTTCGTTAGTATTTCTTTTCTTTTTCTTGATATGTCATGTGCTTTATGTCCAACGTTCTTCCTTGATTTGAGTTTGCTAATGCAGAACATGCCTATAAAATTCATTTTCATGAATCAGTTATTGCTTTTATGTTGTCCTTTTAAGGTATTACAAGAAACAGATATAACTTAATTGTAGTTTACTTTTTTGTGGTATTTTGTTCTAGGCTTTGGAGACTGTCAGCAAAAACTGTGGTGAGAACGTTTTTCAGCTTATTATTGAGCGTGACATCTTACATGAAATGGTTAAAATAGTAAAGAAGAAGGTAGTGGTACCTTGATTTTTTATGACCGTATTTGTATCGTTTTTCTAGTTCCACTCTGATATTGAGTACTTTTTTTTATGCTCATTCTCTCCTGCGCATTTCTGGGATACTAACTTTTTGTCCTATTTATTTGTCTAAACTCTGCAGCCAGACTTGAATGTGAGAGAAAAGATCCTAATCCTAATAGATACATGGCAAGAAGCTTTCGGGGGACCTACGGGGAGATATCCCCAGTACCATGCAGCTTATAATGAGCTAAGGGTAATTGGTTTATTATGTGCTGGTTTAATAAGTTAAGCTGGAAAAGCAGCCATGTACTTCTCTGAAAAGATGCCTTTTGGTTTGCTTAAGCTAAGCATTACGGTTAAAATTTTGTTTATGTTGGTTTCTAAGTATTTACATGTATCTTATGTCTGACTGCTTGTTTGGATGTGGAGGTTAGTTTTTGTTATAAAAATAGTTTATATTGTTTCTATCTGCCGAAGTGGATACCTTCGGTGTTTCCCTTGATGCTTAGTGTCAATGGATGCCATGGTCATGGTATTACTATTATCAAGAAGTACGTCATGGTCATGGGTACAAGTTGTGTTAATTCTTTTATTTGCTTTTCTGTTGACAGGCTGCAGGAGTTGAATTTCCACCTCGAGAAGAGAACAGTGTGCCATTCTTTACTCCACCTCAGACCCAGCCAATCATTCCCCCTGATACAGAATACAACGATGCTGCTATTCAGGCCTCTCTACAATCCGTTGCTTCTGGTCTCAGGTGCCATTTCAATGGCTTCCTCAATTTTTTCAGTTTTGATCTTGAACGGTTGCTCTTTGTTTCTATCTCCTTTTTCTCCATACAAACCTAACATAGACAACTTTCACATCAATACGAGGCTTCCAAATAAATAATTTTGCCATATGATAACTTTTATAGTACTTCCAAATAAATAATTTTGCCATATGATAACTTTTAAAGTAAATCACTGACAAGAAAGTTTTGGTAATTCTACCAAACCTGATCACATAACCACTGAACAACACGCTCTATACCTGATAGTAATTCTATTTGATGAAGTCTGTACCATCAAATTTTTAGTAATTCTCTTGAAACCTCATCTACCACTAAAAGACAATGACCAATGTCTAACATCTTGATCAATGCACCTCAACCATCCCGAAACTGTTTAGAAGTTCCCTGCGGCTACCCTGTGAGTTAGTGTTAACGTGCAAAATCCCTGCCATCAGAACGTCCACTAATTTTTGCAACTACTGCAGTTCTGGTTCTGTAGTAATAGTCTCATGAGTTTCATTTTTAATATCATATGCATATACGTGTTCTTGTAAGAATGTTCTGTTTGCATAGTTTAATAGGAAACATCTGACTTTCTGAAAGCTGCTTTGCTCTTTATCTTGTTGTTTCTCTTTGTTTTGCTTCCATTTTATTTGGCTATGATTATAAGTGTAGCTATGTTAGATTCCTTCTGAAATAAAATTATATATAATCAGCTTGTCAGAGATTAAAAATTCTCAAGGACTAGCAGATGTCTTGACGGATATGCTTGGTGCATTGGATCCTAAGAATTCTGAGGTAATATATTGTATATCTATTTCTGAATTTTGGATGAATATTTATTTTGCTTGGATGCTGCTTGTAAAAATGTTTGTTTTAAGGCCAGAGGATACTCCTTTTCTGTTTCAATAAAATTTAAAATTATTTAATTTTAAAATTGTAGAAATTTGAAGAACATGATAAATGGTTCCTTAACTTCCTTTCCATATATATATGTTGTGTGAATTTTTGTGTTTCAAAATAGAACAATCTGGACAAATGCTTAGTTGGGAGGGAGTCACCTTAGCTGTTTGCTTAGAGGGAAGGATAATCTTTTGTTTCTCTTATGGTGGTTTTGGTGTTTCATGAGTAATCTAAGACTGTCTGGTAAGAGGGACAGAGAAGGAAAGAAATGTATAGAATCTAGGTGATAAAAATGGAGAGGAAGGGGAGGACCATTCTCTTATTTTGTTTGGTGTGGATACCGCCCTCTAATCCTGACCTATTGGGAGAAATTAAAAAATTGGGGTTCTTTGAGGGATTCAAAATCCCCCACCCAATTTTATATAATTCTTTCACTCCTTTCTCTAATTTCAACTTTTCCCTTTTACCGAACAAGCTCTAGCATTGAATATGGAACTTACATTGTTGATGTGAGTTATTTTATTTTATTTTATTTGCAGAGTTGTAGTTCTTTGTTGAAATACTGTATCGTTTTCCCCTAATCTTTTCGAGTGTCCTTACCCTGCCATATACGGGAGATCATCTAATTCATTCGTTCTTGGATTTTTATGTTTCTGGATATTATGACAGGGTGTGAAGGATGAAGTGATTGTTGACCTTGTTGATCAATGCCGTTCTTACCAAAAACGTGTCATGCTTCTTGTGAATAACACCGAGTAAGAGATTGTTCTACTTTGTACTTTTTTAGTAATGTAGTTAAGATGGTATTTAGATATGATGATGCTAATACTCGAGGTTGCTTTCCTTTCAGAGATGAGGAACTTCTGTTTCAAGGATTGGCGCTGAATGATAGTTTGCAACGCGTGCTTGCTCGGCATGATGAAATTGCAAAAGGATCTCCTACTACAAGCACACAAGGAACAGCATCTTCAGTAGTTCTGAACGTCAACCATGAGGATGATGAACCAGAAGATGAATTTGCCCAGCTAGCCCACAGGTAAGTATTTTAAGTGGCTATTTTCCATACGGGCTTACAGTTAACTGTACATAGACTTTCATGTGGATTGTTCTGTTTGGCGTGGCTTTATGGAAGTAGCTTTTGGCTTTTTAGGATCAAAAGCTGTTTATGAGAATAATGATGACTTTTTAAAAAAGCTTTGAACGTCCAGCCACAAAATGTGGCTTCTCAAGAAAGATCTAAAAAGACTTTGAAACTTATATCAGAGCCACAAAAAGATTTTTACAAACTTCATTTCTTACATTTTTATTGCTTATTGGTAAATTTATCTCATGTAATTTTAGATTTCCTAAGCTCCACATCTCATGTTCTCTCTTTCAATCTCTTTTTTTTTCCAATTCATTTACTTCAAATTGCAGCGTCTTGTATTTTTTGCTGTATTATGGTCATTATAAAGCTTTCATTTTTGGTGTGGATGATGCTTAAATTTGAGATTCTGTCTACTAATCCGTTACACAGTTTCATTCTAGAATTTATGTTTGCGATTGAACTATTTCAGGTCATCAAGAGATAACTTGCATGGACATGGACAGAAACCAGCCAACTCAAGGACCGAACCAGTGCGGGCAAGTCCACTAATTCCTCCTCCGCCCTCATCCAAAAGACCAGTAGCCACGGATGCTGGCTTGGTTGATTATCTGAGCGGCGATAACTACAAGTCTGGATTCGACGAAACATCAGAACATACATCTTATGTGACTCCACCAGTTCATTCTACTGGAAATACCTCATCACTGAGTCCCACATTGTCATCCTCTCCACCCTCCAACACCGTAAATTCCACCTCATTGCCATTGTACACCGGAAAGCCAGTCTATGACGAGCCAGCTCCCACCAGCAGATCTGCAGAACATCTGCCTCCGGCTCCTTGGGAATCTCAGTCTTCTGGCTCTCTTCCACCCCCACCTTCCAGGTACAACCAGAGACAGCAGTTTTTTGAGCAACATACTGAGCATTCGAGCAGCGGATCGAGCTCCTCTTACGACAGTCTAGTGGGTCAGACTCGGAATCTGTCACTAAACTCCTCTGCTCCAACAAAGCAAGACAAACCGGAAGATGTGCTCTTTAAAGATCTAGTTGATTTTGCGAAAGCTAAGTCGTCTTCCTCTTCATCATCTAAACCCAACAGGTCATTTTGAGTGGTTGATTATTGGTTTCCAAACTGCCACAGCTTGTGAACATAAATACATCGGAGTTTTACATGATATCATTACCTTCTGTGAAATAATTTGTTGCTATAGGAATCTTTTGTTTCGGGTTTGGGTTCGTGCGTGGTGTTTTAGTAGCTGGTTTATTTTGAGATGACCTGCTTATTGCACATAAATTTGAATGTATTGATGTTCCTTATTGGATTTCATTTTCAATTCTCAGTTCTTTTTTCGTGTTATTTGCTGCTTTTTTTTTTTTTGTTTTTGTTTTTTTCCTTCTTCGATTTGGTGTTGGGTAACGGATGAGATTGTACAACTGGGATAATCATCATTTTATTTTCATATATAGGACCTTTGAATTAATGCTCGTTACAATTAACAGGAACATAGTGACATGATGAATATCAACTTTTTCATATGATATAATCAAAATATCAGACAGGAAAATATGGTTTTCCTTTGGAGAAATATTGTAGAACGAATTACAAAAGAGAGGACCAAATACATACAAGTAACATTGCGTATGCATATATGGTGGCTTACATTATGTACATGTATAAATGCTTAAATTTATTGAATGCGAAGCAGAGATGGAGATAGTGATATTCACGTAGTTTTGGCTTCATGAATGGGAAAGCAGACCGAGTTGCTCCGTAGCAAGCTTGAGTTGCCTGAGAAGAAGTGCGAAAATCATGCGCTTGATTCCGCCTCTTAGCGGAGGGACGTTAACTCCCCTCTTGCTATTGCTCAATCCCTTTCTTACCATTATCACCTTCCTCTCCATTATGAGACCAAGAAATGGAAGGCAGAAACTGATTACTAACATGATCATGAGTAGTAGTAGTAGTATATGAGGAGAGGTTTGTTGGCTGGTTGCTCAGATATAGCGAAATAAGTTCCAAGTAAAACTTTTGGGCGGGTTTGGAGAGGAACCTTCCTACTGCTTTCATGGGCATGATCATTGATCACTACAAGTAAATGATGCTTCGGTTTGGTGCCAAAGGCAAATACTAGTTTGTTGTTTTCTCAGCCATGAACTGCCACAAGCCATAACTGTGTCGACAGTTTGCAGTACTAAGCTCGAAGCCACAAGAAAGTTGGCCTCTTCTTAAATTTCATTTGTTTCTTAATTTCTTATATTTAATACATTTTTATATATTAAATCAAACTGGTTTTATAATCAAGAGACATCTATCATATAAAGGGCCTCAGGTTTATATCTACTTTTTTTGAATCTGGAGGTTTATATTAGCTTAAAAACATATCTAAGAACTTCATTCTCAACTACTAATAGAAATTATGAAAATATTTTTTTATTTATTTTTATTTAAGCATGAACAAGCCTCATAAAAACAGGAGTAAAAAAAAATCATATCTGCACAATTTTTAGCTTAAACTCTCACAAAACAAAGCAAATAATAATCTGTAGATGATCAACAAGCTCAAAAGAAAATTAAAATGGAGCAACATTTTTCAAATAACGGTGATCTTGACCTTGGCATTTTCCATAAAATAACAACGCAGACTCCTCCGATCACACTCTTCAAAGTTGTCCATTACGACTTCAGTCAAGTCATGCCGCCAACATCTCACCGGGGATGATGAGCAGCAAGTAATTACGTTATCTTCTTCCTCTTCTTTGACTTCAGAATTTGCAGCCACGCCATAATAGAAATGAATATTGTAACAAAGGCTCAATGAGAGTAAGGAGAAGAATGTATACCGAAAGTTGTTTAGGTGTTTGAATGAAATTTATCTAGCATTAAGTTAGCCAACTAGCTAGGTTGAAGGGAATAAATTAATATTGTCAAAATTAATAAATTAATATTCGTAGATCTGAATATGAGAATCGTAACTTCTATCTTAAGATTCTTGATGTCATAAAGTGGAGGAATTAAGGCTTTCTCTCTTGTTCAGGATAGATGAGGTACTACTTAATTACAAAGACGCCAAAAGATTAAGTTATAAGTAAAGAAACATGAGCAAGGAAACTAGAAAATAACTTTCAAGTTTACATAAAGAATGAAAGAGTAATATCAATTTCACAAAACATATATAAATTTAAAACGCGCTTCTTTTATAGTGTTCATTTTTAACATTCCAAAATCACAAATCAAGATAGATATAACAAAATCAATGTAGAAGACATGGAGAGAGAAACTGTGTCGCAACTCGCAAACAAGTTGAGAAAATCCCTCAAGCTTTTGTGAAACCCTCTACGCTCATTGCTTGAGTACCCCAAATCAAGGCAGCTCTCCGCGTCTTTCACATCAGCTGAGATGAGTTCTAGAGGAGGCGAGGGCTTCCGTGCCCCGCTATATTGGAAGTTGAGCAACTTACAGCCGTCGACGTTGATCTTACAATGCAGCTGATCACGAGTTGATCTACTCAACATTCTCTAGCGCAGAGCAATAGTTCAACTCCAAACACTTGAGATTCTCATCGTGTATAAACATATTTTTCAATTCTCTGCATATCCAGACAATATTAGAGTCTCGGGCGATACGAATTCTGCAACGTTGTCTCGCAACCACTTGTCAGTAATCCGCGCAGAAATTAGAATTGAAGAGACTTGCGAGAAGCAATATTGATATTCTCAATCTTGGTAGAGTTGCTAAAATATAAAAACGATTCAAGACTCACTTTTTCGTCAACGTGAATTGCATCCAGTCCAGGGCAACGTTCAGTGGAAATTGGTTTCATGCTTTTTGCACAAGTAGACACTACTTGGATACTTTTTAACCCGTAACAACTAATAATATGTAAATCCTTGATCAAAGGAAAACTCAGAATCAAATCTTGAGAACCAAACACGAGCCCGCACAACTTCATTCTCTTGATTGTTTTCGCCGAAAATACATCGTTTGGCAATCTATTAAGACTATTTTGGAGAAATATATATTTCAAATATGAAAGTTGCTGGTGATCTCCACTGCAATGTAGATTCAGTTCTTCGATTTTCTTGTCTAGGGCAAAATTAATCACATTCTCTAGCAGCTTCACGACGGAGTTAAACCTTTGGACTATTAGGTAATCTTGCGTGTGCAATTTGCTACTTTCAAAAATCAAGTATACATAAAAATTCAGCCGCTCGAAATTGGTTTCCAAATTACGACGTCGTTCGAAAGAATTGCGCACGAAGTCCGAGAAGTTCTGGTCCTCGCCAGTACGTGAACGGAATTTGAAGTCGAGTGTTGGCAAAGAGAGGCCGGCAGACGACAGTCGTTTTGACAAGGTGGATAACCGTGCGGCTTCGGCGGGAGAAAGAAAGAAACGACATGATGTGGTGGATTAGGCCTTCCTCTAAAGTCTGAAACTTGACAGCCGATAGCCGGCCTCCGTGATCGTCGCTTTTTCCATTCTCTTCTTTGGTTTTGTGTTTCTTTCTTCAAAAACCCTCTCTCGCTACGCAGATATATATTCTTAAGCCAGTGAAGAATATTATATTATATAATCTTGCATAATTTTTTAACGTTTTTAATTAAAAACCTATTAGTAACTATTATTTTTTTATGTTGATAGCTATTGAAAAATTAATTATATTTTACTCTATTTGTAGGGAGGATTCCGTATTTTCATATTTTTTAGGAGATGGAATTTTTTAGATGGGAGTTTTTGTTTTGCTTAGTTTTTTGTTATCTTAATTTCTTATCTAATTTTTTGTTTTATTTTTTTTATAAATGGTTTAAAATGAAAGGATAGTTCCAACGTTTTAGATCTAGAGAGAGAGAGAGAGAGATAAAAATAAAGTGCCAATACCAATTATGAGATATCTATTTAAACTCTTCCAAAAAAAGAAAAAAGTATATCTATTGAAATCTGGTTAAAAACAAAATCCTAAAATCATATTTATGTCATAAAAATAATGCACATACCAAGGCCAATTTTTCGAACCACCCTGGAGCATAACGCTAACAGAAGAGAGATGTAAGTGTAACACAACATGCATTCTGTGTAACATTATGACGGCCGAACCAGAAAATATTTTTAATGCGGTTACAATGAAAAAAATCAGAAATAAACGTCAACTGAATATAAATATAGATGTAATTATATCATTTAGTGAGAGTACTGTTATACTTTTTTATACACAATTAAAATCTTATAATAACTTTTGGCCTAAAACTCCATTTTTTTAAATTTGAGTGGTGGACGCGTAAATTTACTTGTGGCTCTGCTACGATATAACAATGATGTTACAAAGGTATAATAACAAGAAATTTAGTTATATCATACCAATATTATACCTTTCCAATATCATCATTATGAAAAACTGTTTAATGAAGAATCCAAGTAGAAGAAATTTACTCAAACTTTTATTTTTTTGGAAAGTCTAAAGGCAGAAAATTTAAAAATTTAAAATTAAGATCCAAATATCAAGAGTTATGAAAATCTTGCGCTTGATTCGAAAGGGTACGTTAACTCCCCTCTTGCTCTTGCTCTACCCCTCTCCCACTATCACCACCTTCTTCTCCGTGATGAGACCAACAAATGAGATAGAGAGCCCGTTTGGAATTGCTTTTGGAGGTTACTTTTAGCTTTTTTTTAAGAAGCTATAGCATATTGGGGTATTTGGCAAAACCTGCTATTGTCTAGCAACTTTTGAAAACTGCTGCCCTACAGTAGAATTTGAGAAACACGTTAAGGGTTGTTTTTCCACAACAACATATGTTGTCATTGTCTAAATTTATTAAAATGACCCTAATAATAAAACTTAATCCCTAATGAACTCATTTTATTTCCTCCAAATCAAATTAAAGAATATATTTTATTTTAAATGTTTATTTGAAAATTAAAAATCTTTAATAAATATCTTACGTTAAATTTTAATAATATATTTTTGTTATAATATTATATATTTGAAAAATAATTTACCCGTTAATTAATTTCTTTGTAGATATATAATTTACCTTTTTGAATAAAACCAATTTGCAAAGTGAGCAACTTACAGCCATTGATGTTGATCTTACAATGCGGCTGATCACGTTTTAATCTGCAGTTGCCGTATATTTGCAAAGATTCAAGGCCCGACACCACAATATCAACATTCTCTAGGGCATAGCAATACTTCAATTCCAAACACTTGAGATGCTCATTATCTATACACATATTTTTTAGTTTTTGGCATCTACACAGTATCAGGGTCTCAAGCAATTCGAGTTCAGAAACATTGTCTCGAAACCACTTGTCAGTAGTCTCGTTTCAAGAATTTAAGGGACTTGCAAGAAGCGAGATATATTGATGTTGATAATCTCAGTAGTGTTTCTATAACTGCAACATGAAAAAGATTCCAGTCCTGATATCATAACGTCAATATTCTTTAACGCATTGCAAGATTCCAACTCCAAACACTTGAGATTTTCGTTGCGTATTCGAACATTTTTCAGTTCCTGGCATGCAAACAACTTCAGAGTCTCAAGGAATTCAAATTCAGAAACGTTGTTCCGAAACCAGTCGTCGGTAATCTTTACTCTCTCCAGTTTCAAGACTTTAAGAGACTTTCGACAAGCCAGATCAATATCGACAATCTCATAAGTGTTTGTAGCACGGAAAAACAATTCAAAACTCGCTTTTTTGTCAACGTGATTCCTCTCCAGTCCAGAGCAATAATGAATGGAAATCGTTCTAATGAGTTCAGCAGAACTAGTAACCTCAACGCTTTTCAATCCACTGCAACAAGTAAGTAGCAAATCCTCGATCAAAGGACTGCTTAAGATCAAATTTCAGAACCAAACGTGAGTCCGAACAACTTGATTCTCTTGATTGTTTTCGCGGAAAATAAGTCGTTTGACATTCTTTTGAGACTGTTTCCGACCGATGCATCTTTGATATACGGAAAATATTCGTATTCTCCAATGCAATGTCGATCCAGTTGTGGGATTTTCTTGTCTAGGTCAAAGTTCAAACTTCAGGTTGGTACGTAACTGTATCTGCTACGACGGTATACCTTTAAACTCAGCGTCTCAAAATTGGTTTCCAAATTACGATGTCGTTCGAGAAAATTGTGCACGAATTCCAAGAAGTGGTCCTCATCAGAATGATATTCGTGAAACTTGGGCTTGGTGAGAGGGTTGGTATAATGGAACTGGAAGTCGAAGTGTGGGAAAGAGAGGCGTGCATACGACAGTCGTTTTGAGAAGGTGGAGAGCCGGGCTGTTTCTGCACGGGAAAGAAACGACATTATGTGGTGGATGAGGTTTTCCGGCAAATGGGACAGCCAATCATCGCTGCCCTCCATGCTCGCTGTCGCCTCTTTTTTCTTCTTTGCTTTCGTCATTTGTGTTTTTGCTTACCCTAGGTTACCTAGACGCTGAATATATAATAACTATAAGGGTTTCCCCCTTTTGGGGAAATAACTCAAAAAAGTATCTTCTTTGATTGGTTAAGTTTTCGAAAAAAATATCAAAGATTCGCTCAAAAATAATACGTAGTGGAATTAATCTTGATTAACATCATTTTTAAAATTAAAGTCCATTACTAAATAATTAGTTTTGAAACTAAAAAATATCCCAAAAAATTTAGAAAGAAAAACCAAGAAAAAAAAGAAGAAAGTGTGTGTTGTTTATGTACCTACTATAATTTTTTTTTTTTTTTATAGGAAGGAAAAAGAAAATAAGAAGAGGGTGTTAAGGGGGGAAAAAACCATTAATAACTTTTCTTAAAATTGTTTGTAATGATAGAAGGAGGGGTAAATATTGATAATTATCATTATTTTTATTTTTATTTTTTATCAGAAGCAAAGAGGTAAGAAAGAGTATTTCATTTGTAAAGTACGAACTCAGCAATTTCTCCAGAACCCAATTACACGCAAGAAAACTCACAAGTTTTGCTTATTCAACAGTTACTTCGATGATAAAATAACTAGCTTTTTCTGACAAAATTGGCCGCATCAACGACATCTTCACGAGTCAGCCTTCTACAAATCACTATATGTAACATCTCAGTTATAACATCCTGTACACCAATAAAAATACTATGTTGTCCCGAAAAGAATTATTCATATTTTTTTAGGAGAGAGGTTGTTGGTCGTTAGCTCAGAAATGGTGAAATAAATATGGACTTGTTTGGGACATATATTCAAATTCAAATTCGAGTCCTCTCTTAAAAAGTTCGCGTCGGTGAGGCTATGTATCTCTTTGGACGGGTTTGAAGAAGAATCTTCATGCATACTTCATTGGTGTTGCTTTACCTTTCTTTCTTTCTTTTTTTTTTTTTTTTTTTTTTTTTGGTGAAAAACTGACAAGACTTAGGACTTAGTTCACTACTTAAACATGAGTTAATTTTCTGTTTTGTCAGCCATAAACTGGCACAACAACAATGTAACCAGGTGTGCATTACTGGGTTCAAAGCCATAAATACCAATCCTTCTTATTTTTCTGCATAAGAGAGTGACAAAAAGTACAAAGACATGCAAAACAACAACCAAGAAAAAGTACCTTGATTAAGCATTGAGAGTTAATGAATGACATTTTCCAAGAAACTGCTCTTAGTTTCACAAGAATTGAGAGTTATTAACATGTATTTCCAATTGAGGATTAAAATGAAAAAAAAAAAAAAAAAAAAAATGAATCCAATGGCATCCTGAAATAGTCCTGTTAAACATCAGCTTGATCTGTTTTGGCTTCTGAAAATTTGCCAATAATATCCCCATTGAGCCGTTTACGTGGCCTCTTGAAGTCTTTTCTGTGTTGCAGTCATTGAGCCTTTTGACATGAAAGATGGATATACAAATTACCTTTTTTTCATTATCTGTGCAATAATGGAGGTGGTTAAAGAAGGAAGGCAAAAAGAGCTTGAAATATGGATTTTGGACTTCTCCATTTGCTGCTAGCTGGAACAGAACCATTACTTTTGGTTGTACTTAATAGCCTTTGCACTCTATCCTCTTGCTTTCCCTTGGAGGGAAAAAAAAAAAAAAGGAATTTCAATTCACAAATAAATGTAATTATTTATTGATTGGTAATTAATTAGATATTATTAATTACCTCTATAGCATCCCTGAGAGGACCCCAACATTCCATTTTGTTGTACTTTTGCAAGCTTGAATGGAAATAGACCCTAACCAAAGAATCAAGCAGCTCAGGGTGCTCTGTAAAAAGTGCTGAATCTCCATGAAGTACCGCTTTGAGAACCTGGTTCATTTGAGTTAGAAACAAAATCCATATTAGGACAAAGAAAGTTGCGGTCCATGTGAAAATCCGTACCAAGTAGACAAATTTCATATGATCTTGATCTTGCTGTTTAAGAAATTTAGGCCTTGTTTGGCATGAGAATAATGTGGAAGGAGTCAAGGAGAGATAAGGGTAAGAGAATTAATCGACGGATTTTGAGACTTTTTAGATATAGGAGAGATTAAAGAATGGAGGCAAATTAGGTGAGAGATTCAAAATTGTCCAAGTAACTCTAATTCTGATCCTTTCAAGTTAATACCAAACACAATAAGGAGAAGGGCATTTGACATTTCCTTACTATTTTCCTCATCTAAGTTAGATACCTTTTCTTTATCTTTTACAATAAGATAAAGAAAGATCAAACACATTTAAGGAGGGGAAAAAAATTAAAAACAACTTTGGTGAAGGGATAATCAAACAACCTAAATTAGAGCTCAGGTGAATTACCGCTAGATGAAGCATGCAACAATAACACAAAAGACGCTACTTACCAAAGGCAATTCTTTGGAGAATATTTGGTATCTGAGCTCAGCAGCGAGTTCTAGCAATAGATTAGGACCGCTCACAAAGCAATGGACATGAAGACACATTTCACCATTCACCTTTTTCCATTCCGCAACCACATCGTCCTTGCTGTACCACCCTCTTAACTATCACAGCAAATCATCCGGTAAAAGTAAAATTCTGGTCAAATTCTGGTTTCTTAAAATTGAATTAACAAATTAGCTTAGCAAAAACTATGAGTAAATCTCTCTGCCTAAAGTACTAGTACACTAGGTGTTAAGTTTTACAAGCAAAAGAAGTAGTAGACAATTAACTAAAAAGCATAAATATGTATATGTATATGTATAGATATACCTGTTCAAGGTTGATGACATGGGAGATAGTTAAGGTTAAGTTAGCAGTGAAGTCACAATGAGACAAGATGTAAGTTCTTGGGATGACTCCAGCATACTTGTTATTCACTTCCTCTCTCGTCAAAACTACTTTTAGCTTTGAAGCTTCGAACCTCGCTGGAGCACCCAAAAGTCTAACGGCCTGGAACAAATTATAAAACGACAAATATTTATGTTACTACTATGCTATGTATCCAGTTATAATAGTATCAATAACAAGTTGTGTGAATGATTTTTAAAAGAATAATGTGGCAATTTAGTTGCATCATTATTATTATTATTTTTTTACTCTTAAGAAAAAAACATCAATTTGTGGTTGTAGATCATGCCCAATTTTTAGTGTCTTTTCAGGGATGGAACAAAGTTTTTATAATGGTCAAACTATGAACTTTGTGAAGCAAATGTGAGGGGGGAAAAACAGAGGACCAAATAAATTAAATTATACATCTCTTAAAACCACAATTTCTAGCTGGTCAACTCACAGGGGTATAAAATAAAAGACATTTTTTTTTTATCAATTCTTTAGTGATTTTTTTTTCTCCTTTAAATACCTATTATTATACGACACAATTTTTAAGCGTAATCTTTTTAACAAATTCGGTAAGTTATCATGCATTTTATCTAACGGTTCAAAATGTATCTACCCAATATGGTACATTTCATAGCCTATCGCCTCATTCTCTAAATTTTCCTCTGATAAACTCACTAGGCCTTGAAAATAGCACAAATGTGGTAACCATGTTTTTGCATGTAAACAGGCATTATTACATAGATTTTATAACGGGAGAAGAGAGGGAAGAATGATGGTACCTCAGAAACGACGGTTGTGTAAGAATCTCTGTTGCCATTGATGGAACAAAGCAGAACAAAATTTGGTCTTTTTGAAGACATAACAGAGTTATTACTAATTTTCATGTTGATGTTCCTTATCTGCAATGGTGAAGGTTGAAGAAGGGCATAAGAAGAAGAAGCAGCAGAATGAGTACTACAACAGGCCATGGAAGATGCATAACCCACTCATACACTTTCTCCTCCTCTTCATCATCTCTCAAATCTCACCATTGTTGTCTCCTGAGGTTAGAGAGAGAAACCAAGAAGAGAGAGAGAGAGTCCCATGTGCGGAGAATTTGTTGTTCAAAGTTGTGGTTCTGTGGACTGTGATGTCACCGACCCCACCCCTTTCAAAGTCTAAAAATCTTTGTCAAATCTTTTGCACCGCACAAATATTTTTATTTTATTTTCTTTTCTTTTCTTTTCAATTTTTCTCTTTTATTTCTATGAACTGGGGAAAAAAGAATTAAAACAAAAAAAGAGAGAGCTGAAATAATGCATGGTGACTGGCTAGCTAGGGAGTCCACCTTTGTGACGCTTTGTGGATAATGTGATGCTGTGGTCTTTCCTACACATGCCACGTCCACATGGCATTTCACAACTCAAAATTGCCTATAGACAAGAAAAACGTGTGGAGAATTCTTGGATGAATTGTTTAGTAGAATAGGATTACCCTTAATATTATTTTCGACTCTAGTTTTATCAAATTTATATTTCTTAATTTTGATACAATTTCAATCTGATTTAGCTAAAATTATTCCCTTTAAAAAGAAACTGTCTAGAATTTGATGTTGATGAAAAGATAAGTATTTTACTTACTCTCGCGTACATTTTTTGGGACAACTACAGTATCGGGACAACCACAGTACCGTATCCCATTTTTGAGTATTGATGACGTATCTTTTTGCCGATCAGATTTGCATCAAATGGTTAGAAACAAATAAACTATCATTAGTAAGGTGAGTCTCCATACATCAAATTCATTAAAAGCCACAAATTAAAAAAAAAAATTTTCTTAAAAAGGAGATCAGCGTTACTCTGCTACCATCGGTGTAAGAACGACACCAGTGACCCAAGATAAAAAAAGATTCAAATCTCGGTAAGTGGGTCACCGGGGAGGTGAGTCGTGAGGGGTCACTCCGTCGCTGGTGACGAACCAGCCATGACCCGCATGGTCACTACGTCACCAATGACCCAAGATAAAAAAAGATTCAAATCTCAATGAGTGGGTCACCGGGGAGGTGGGTCGTGAGGGGTCACTATGTCGCTGGTGGCGAACTAGCCATGAGGTCGCTCTGCCTCTGGAATCGTGGCCCACCCGCATGGTCGCTCCATTTCTGGTCGCAAACCAACTGCGGGGTCGCTCTCTCACTGGTCGCGACCCCAATGGCAGTCATGATTTTGCGACCATTGTCGCACGTCGCCCGCGACACCGTCAGTGGTGGGTAGGTGTATTCGTGCCACCGTGAGCCATGGAGGCGAATGGGTGGCGACCTCATGCGCGTCAGTGATAGCACGCCAGCATCTCCCGTAATATTAGCATGAGTTTTTTTTTTATAATTATCAATTTTCATATCTTGTTAGTAATTATTAATTAGATTAGAAAAATTGTAATCAAATGTGAATATGCTTATTTTAGTTTTTATGAGATTGGGATATGTGACCATTGAAATTTAATCCAACGGTGTAAATAAGAGTGCGTTATTAACAACGTATTCATAAACCGTGTATCATAGTTTTTCCGTACATTTTTATATGAGAGTAGATGTCCAGGTGGAGAAACAAACAATTTATGAAATTTGATGACCTTTTTCATCAAGATTCGACACTTAATCATCAATGCGTCATGGAGAGTAAAAATGATTGACTAAAGTGGTCTAATTCACATGGACCATTTATGATTCATGACAACTACTATCACCTGTTCCGTTTTACCGTGACAGAAAACGAGTCAGAATGTATTTGATATTTTAGAAAAAATTCGTTAAACTTATTATTAAAGTGAATTTAAATTTTTATCTTTTATTTTTAATTAATATAGTTATTTAACTTAAAAAAGTGTTAATTTATACTCATAGATTTTAAGAAATACTTGTCATTCCATACAAAAACAAGTCGTAGATAATCGTTTTGGGCTTTTAGGCCCAACAATTCTGGAGCTCTTGAATTTTTTTCGAAAGTGAAATAGAGTCCGTCCCAGTTAAAAAGAATAACATTGAAAACAGCGTACAAATTGATTAGGCAGGGGTGTTCTCGAATCTGTTAATCCCTTCAATCTGCATAATTTAATCTCATTCAATCTAATATGGCGAAAATACAAGTCTTAGCATAATTTGAGTGGAAAATAAAAGTCTTGGCATGAATCCATCTCGTTTTGTTGCATGAAATATCAACTTATTTAATCTACTAACAAGCAGATTTCAGTTGTTTCTTAGGTCCTTGCTTATCTCATCAATCTGATAAGCACACGTCTAGTTTATAACTAAAACTGTTGTTGGTTGTAGGCCATCTTTACATTTTTTTTTGTTTTCGTTTAATTTTAGTTTTTCGTGGTCTTCTCATTTATATTTACAATTCTGGTGTTTAATTAACCAGGCTATTGACACAAGAGATGCTCTGGCAAAGTCAATTTATGCTTGTCCGTTTGAATGGATGGTTGAACAAATCAACAAATCACTTGCAGTAGGCAAATGACGTACTGGCAGATCCATTAGCATTCTCAATTATGCCATGTAACGTTTTCTGCGGAGGAATAGTTTTGAACAGTTCTGTATCAATTACAGTTCTCTGTAATTATTTTAGGCATTCTACGCTAATATTATTTCTAGTTATTTTCTTTGCTCTATAAAAGTAGATATTTAAGCTAACTAGCCATAGACGTCTTTCTTATATGATTTGAGAACTTTCTCTGATATGGTGAAAATATGCGGTGACAAAATAGACGGAGCTCTCACATCCCGTATATCAGGGATTAGGGTGTAATCCTAATACCCATATCATGAAAACAAAACACACACACACACACACATATATATATATACATACCAACATAACTCATGTATTCAACAAGACTGTTCATGCATTAGTACGTCGCTTTAACCTTCTTTTAATACTATATTTAATTTCTTAGAAATACACGCTAAAGGTCTGATTTTTCATATAGCATAATATATGTTCCAATATAAAAAACTCGACAACTTTTTCAAAATACATCCCGTTTACTTTAAATTAATAATCTTTGCATCAAAATTAATATATTAAATATTAATTAATCAGATCAATATAGGGGAAGAGTTTTAGTATGTCATGATTGAAAATTTATTTAGTACCATTAAGGGTCTACTTTTATTATAATAATGTCTCTATTAAATAATAATCTATCTCATATCTGCATAATAGAGTATTCTAGTTGGTGATTCAAGTAGTTTAGAACAGATTCTCCGTTTTTGTGAGACAAAAACGAACCAATACGCATATGTTATTAATGGGAGAATGCATCATTTCTAGCTTTGAGATGATTAGAATAATAAACTGAGCTCTTATTTATAATCTTTCAGAAGATAAAAGGCTTCTTTGCATAACCAATATGGGACAAAAGAATATATATATATATATATTAAAGTGTCAGAAAAGACAAAAGGCTTGTTCTATAACCGATGTGAGACTCAACTAAGAATTCATTTGGTACGAGAATTTAAATCATGATGATTCTAATCATAATTTTAAAATCAGAACCATAATTCATGATTTTGAGATCAAATCATGATTCTGAACCATAATTCAGAATTAGGGGTTTGAATCATATTGAATCAAGAGATGGTGGTTTTAGAATCATGAATGATTCTGGTTTAAAACATAACATCATATTCTGAATCATGATTCAGAATCATCTAAATCAAACACTGATTTTGAACTAGGATCCAGAATCATGATTCTGGATCCATCTACCAAACGAACCATAAATAGCCCAAAAAATCCAACAATCACAATCTTGCCACCTGCAAGATCGAAAATAAGTTAAAAATGAAAACTAACAAGAGTAATGAAAAAATAAATATTCCACATTCAAAACATATAAATCAAGGTTAGAAATTCTTACTTAACATATAAGTGATAATCACTAATTGATAAAGTGAAAAACCAGTATAGCAAAGTGAACATAGGCTTAATTTGGTATTCTCGTAGATTTTGAAAAAATTATTTTTAGCCGTGCTGTAAGAAAAATCAGCTGTTACAAAAAGCAATTGAACATTTGGTAAACTATAATTATAGTAGCTGTACTAATTTCAAAATTAGTGTAATAGCGTTTGGTAAATTATGAGATTAAATTACTGTTGATAGTTAAAAATTACGACTATATTATATCATACTATAATATAATATATAATTACAATATAATATATATTTACTATTATATTTAATATAATAAAAACAATATTATTATATAATATATTATATATTATGATATAGAATATAATAATATTATTAAAATAATAACTGAAATAATTAAAAA